ACTTATAAGTAAAAAAATCACTTATGTGTAGAAATTATTTAAAAGTACTAATTTAACTAAGAATTATAAAGTTTATATATAATTTAGAAATATTAACATAAAATTTTAAGTAAATATTTAATTTTATTTACCTTTTTAAAATTAAATACTAACTTATATGTAAAAAAATTACATATAAGTAAAATATCACTTATAAGTAAAAATATTCGTACAAAAAAATCATAAACTCAAAATTTTACTAAGGGACATATATGTAACTTTATTTTTTAAAAAAAAATTTCAAAACCGGTGGATAATAAATTCCAAAACATGGGTTGAATTGTTTTAAAAATCGCTGCTAAAATGACTTATAACTGGTTCACTCATAAACACTCAAAATCGGTACTTCAAAAGGCTCTCATAACCGGTACGCTAGAACTACAAAGCACGCCATAAAACTTTGCCACATTTAGCATGACACACTAATTATAATTCAATAAACGCTTTGCCAAACATGTCCTAATTTGCACTACCTGTATATTAAGCAAATATTTTTCGCAATAATTTCAGAGGTGGTGGTGCTGTTGGTTCTGGTGACTGTCGTCGACGGTGAATGTCAAGGGGTGGTCACACTAGGCGGTGGTGGTCGCGGGGATGTTCACAGAAGTCAATGGGTTTGACAGTGTTTTTGTATACCCATGGCGACGATGACACTTGTGGTTGTGATGATTTTCATTTACAGTGTATTGGATGGCGGCTTTGTGTGGTGGGTTGATAATGGCTGTGACAGTTAATGGTGGTGCAGGTGGAGGATCTGGTGATTTTAGGTTTATGACTAAAAATATAATAAATGACCTTAAAATTTGGTAATCTGTGACAAAATAAAATTTGCGACCAATCATTTTGTTATTTATGATCTAAAAATTATATAATTTGTGACCGTGAAAAAATCTGTGACCAATTAATTTGGAAATCTGTGACCAACGAATTAATTATGACTTATAAAATTTGTGAGATGTGACCGTAAATTGTAAATTTGTGATCAGAATTGTCACCGGAATAGTTGTCAGAATCGGAGCAGTAGCCGGAATGGTTGTCGAAAAGTCGTCGGAGAAGAGTGGTGGTCGGAATGGTCGCTGGAATAGTCCCCGGAGCGGTATGGGTAGTGCACGTGGGATGTGTTAATTATATTATATTAAAATTAAATATTTAATAATAAATTAATTTAATAATTTATTATTTCATAAAAAATAAAAAAAATAAAAAATAAA